CCTTCATCATCAAGATCAACAACATCTTCATCAACCAAATGAGGAACTGAAACACAACCGGAATCTTGTTCCCTCACCGGTTTAGTTCGAACACTGCGTCGGAGGAAACCTCCTCCGCCCCGACGAGAAAAGGGACAACGAGCAATCGGAGTGTCATCGTCTGTAGATTTCGAACCCCTTATACTAACGTGAGACGAAGAAGATGGGGGAGAGTCCATACGATCATCAAGAGAAGCAGAAGAAAGACTCGACTCGATCCTCATAGCGAAAATATTGAAGAAAGAAAGAATGCTTATGAGAAAGAAGGGACAAAGAGAGTAAGAAGGAAAAAAAGGGAGACAAAGGACGAAACTTATAAAGAAAAAAAAAGCAACAATAACAGACATTTAAAAGACGCGACTCCTCGCTGAACATTTCTCACAATAAACGAAGACTCCATCCAATCAGAGATCGCCATGTCATCAAAGCACGGGAAACCAGGCCGAACCGACTTCCTTCGTGACGCTTCGAGATGCCCTTCGGCGACAAAAAGGGGGGGGGGGCTATTGTTGGATATGGGCCCAGATCAAAGAACCATGGCATAGAAGTCGACTCGGCCCAGGAGACTACCGCGGCCCGGTCACTTGAAGAATGGCCCAAACGCGAAGACCCACGCCATTTCAGACGCGATGTCTCACCAACTCCGCTACTGAAGACTGGCACACGCCACCAGAGTAGCGGGAGGTCATCATTTCGGCCATACCGCCGAACCTAATCCCCTAATGACCCGCTGATTACTGTAGACGATTAGAAGGCCATAATGGCGAACCTGAAAAACCACGCAACTCCGATCTATAAATATTGAGGAAAGAGTTCGACACAAAGGGAGAAAAAGAGAAGTATGAAAAGACTAGAGAAAGAAAGAAAGAGAGATAAAATCTTTAGTTCGTTGGTGATGATGAGTTCTTCTTTGTACTTTTCCTCTCCAGTTTTACTTGACACACACTTCAATAAACAAAATCTTTGGCTCATTCTCTTTAACCAATCGATTACTTCTTTAAGATTCCATCTATCATTTCCCGAATTTAGGATTCAACAATGAGGAATCTATGTTTGCAGAGAAAACCCAATGTGTGATATAAATATCATTTTCAACGGGCTTTTTTGACATCTATCAAGATTTGTTTGGCGTTTGTAATCTTTTAGAGATGGTGTATCAAGGATATGAAGGTATTGATGTTAATTTCTCACTTCAAATGTAAATACGGCTGTTTGGGTATTGCCCGATGTGGAAGCCATCATCGCATCAGAGAGTATACGTGGATGAGTAGATGGGATAAACAAAAATATTAGATGGTCATCCTACCAGAGTCAAAGGGAGAGTATTATAGAGTATACTTTAATTCAAAGAGCACGAATACAAATTAATTGGTACCATGTCGACGTTTCAAAGCATGTCCCGAATACAATAGGTTTTTTATTATACGATATAGAAAAAGAATAATTAAAATTTCAATATGACATAACTATCTTATCAGAGTGAAAAAATTATAGAGAAGAAAAAATAACAAAGCATATCATATGTTAGCATGTAAGGTTAATCGCAAAAGAAAGCAATGTCATTCTTCACTTCGACAAATAATCTATCTCCAGCATATATCGCATATGTATGCTTATGTAATAAATTTTGTTTCGTTACTTTGTAAATGATTCTATAACTCTATTTGTACTTCATTAAATTAATAAAATATGTTTAAACGTTTTTTAAAAAATAGCAACAATTTCTTTATATCTAGGAAAAATGTATTGGATAACACATTGGAAATTCACACTTGAGCTAAAATAATATCAAGGCAACGAAAACCTCTTTGTGGAAATTAAAATTTATTTTATCATCACATAAATCTATATATATGAAATCTTTTCAATAATATCTTATATATTAAAATAGACGTCATAACCTTCATTTATGTGTGATTTTTTTTTAAATAAACCATCACTAGAAACTTTTATTATATGTTTTTTTTGTCATCAACAAACACAGATTCATATTGACTCTGTAAATCAAAATGGTAACTCTACATCCAATTGAACGACAAATGACGATTGCTTCTTGGCACTGCGTGCAAAACTATCCACTCGTAAATTATGTGTGCTTGGTACATAGATGATATCTGAGCTGTGGAAACTTTCCTTTAGCATCTTTATATCTTCCATATAAGTTGAGAAAGCGGGCCATTCTTTAGGTTCCGAAACCATCTTCACCAATTGAGAACAGTCTGTTGCAAACGTTACTTGAAACTGATGCAAATTCCTCATGCTTTCCCTCCCCCAAATTAGTGCTTCCACCTCTGCATGCAAAGGTGAAAGACTAGATCTGACATTTCTTGCCCCCATCAAACCTTCAAAACCCTGTAGTGTACTGTACCAACCGTGTCCAGAAAAAACTTCTTGGTCTTTCTACGAGGCATTCGTAAAACACCAACACCTAGGTATGGGTGGTACAAGCCTACCCTCCCCCTATGGTGTTAGTTGCGGAGCCCGTGCATGTGTTGCTTCATTCCAAAGAGTTGCTTCCGTCTTTGCAATGCAGAGCGTATCTCTAGGATCAGTATCCAAATTGCTAAACATTTTGCTATTTCGTCTTTTCCAAATGTACCATAATATCCATGCATAATGATGATCTTCCATCTTTGACAAAACCCGCCAAAATAAATGATCCAAATTTGTAAACAAAGAACATGTAGGGAAAAAGGTTGGATTAGAGGGTATCTTTTATAATTCTCAAACTTGGCGTGTTGGAGGACACTCAAAGAACACATGGTATATCGATTCCTCTTCATCTCCACATCTGGCACAGCATGTATCCCCTTGTATCCCTCACGCTTTTAGAGTTTTTTTAACAGCTATACACTATGATATCATTTGCCATAAGAAGTGTTTTATCTTTGGAGGACACCGTACCTTCCAGCAATATGCCTTCAGGAGGTCCACTGTGGGTCCCAAAATGCAGGTGTCCTTTCCTTCTCCGGATAAACCCTTTCAACTTGGTAACCCGACCTGACCGTATATTTTTCATTCTTAGTAAAATGTCATCCATCCTTATTGTCCATGTGGTACCTGCTGAGTGGTATACTTTCTATAAGTTTGGCATACTCGGGGTCCACCAAAGTTCTAATTCCATGTATATTCCAGCTTCGCGACCCAGTGTTGATGAGAGAGTCGAATGTAAGTTTCGGATACAAGTTATGATGATATTTATTTACTGGTCTCGGACGAGTGGTTGGGAGGCATGGATCATTCCAGATAGATATGGAAGATCCTGATCCCACTCGTTTAATTAGTCCTTTGCTAACCAGAGATCTAGCAAAAACTATTCTCCTTCATCCATATGACAGAGAGTATGATCTGATCGGTTCTAGGATTGAAGAGTTCCTATAATACCGACACTTGAAGACTCGAGCAAACAAAGTGTTTGGTTCTCAATTAATCGCCATAATTGCTTTCCAAGCATAGCCGTATTAAAATCATCTAGATCTTTGAAACCCAAATCTCCTTCATCCTTATCTTTACACAGTTTGTCCCATGATTTCCAATGCATTTCTCTTATACTTCCCCAGTGCTCCACCAAAATTGGGCTGCAACACTCGTCAGTTTCTTTGTAGTCGCTTTAGGTATGATAGCAGAACATTACATGATTTGCTAAAGCCGTAATCACAGACTTAATAATTACCTATTTTCCTTTCTTAGTAAAAAACTTGAACGTCCATCCATTGACTCTATTACTTAGTCTTCCCTGAACAAATCCAAACACCTGAACTCTAGATCCACCAAGACTCTCTGGTAATCCCAAATAAAATCCCATGCCTCCAAAATTTGACATTCTTCCGGTTGTGCCTTGCAAAAGAAAATACTATCATCTGCAAACAAGAGGTGAGATACCGAAGGACACACTCTAACCATCTTCATCCCTGTCAATTATTTTTGATGCTATGCTTTTTTTTTATGTTTGTGATTAATGCTTTTGTACGCATAATAAATAACTAGGGCGAGAGGGAAACCCCTTGTCTCAATCCCCTATGTGGAGTGATGAGCCCCCGTAGTTGACCATTTAGTAATATACGGTATTGAACCGACAGTATTATATGTATTTCATTAAATCTAATAATAAAATAGTTGTAACTACTTTAATCCTAATATCTTTTGATATCATTTTTATTTTAAATATAAATATATATTCAAAATTACAAAAATATCTATTGAGATTTTTTTTAATAAAGATTTTAACGTTTTAAAAATTATGTAAATATTTTACTAATTTCGAGTTAATAAGGAATATAATCATACATTAATATATATATATATATATAGTTTTCTTTTATAAAATAAAAAAATCTATCTTTTTTAATCTATCTGTTATTAAATCATAATGTATCATAATAAAACAAAATTATTATAGTAAATTGTATTAAAATGGAAAAATTAATCTATATTATTTTCATGAATAGTAAATATTAATGTTAAAAATATATTACGCTGGAAGAATAGGTTAACATTACTAACTATATAATACATGTATAAAATTAACATATAAAACCTTTATATAGACAATACTATATTATCTAAATAAGCATAAAAACTTGCTAATTTAGTATAAATTAAATATAAAATAATTTTTCAAACTTGATTTTTCATGCATATGTTTGTTTATTTAATAATCAAATGATTGAAACAATTGTTATTAACATATGAACTATAAAATAATTGTATTTGTAATAGTTTTATAAACATTTAAATATATGACTAACATTACTAATAATGTAGCAAAATATTTATGTATATAAAAATGAAAATAAAACCGGTGCAAAAATCTAGTTATTTATTTATACATAGCATTCCATAAATCTAATACTTATAAGTTAAAAATATTTATTGTCTGCATAAAAAAAAAAAAGAAAATCTCATAACGTAATAAAATGTTTTAAATTAAAATAAATAAATTTAGATATGGATCCATCAGATGCTGATATCCTTCCGTTTCGCCAAGGCCATTGAAACTAAAAACAAACCTCTTCAATTTTCCTCAGAGCGACTAATAACAAATCTCTCTGAGTAACTCTGATCCGAAAATCACCAATCTCATCAATCAAATTCGAGATTCGATCGCATTTGATTTCAAAACTCTTCTCCGAATCTGTTCAAACCCACCGACGAGATTCCGATGTGGGTTTCGCCGATTTAACAATCTGATTGCAAAGTTCGAAACTTTCCGAGATGGGTTTCCTCGAATCGGTGAAATCGATCAATTGGGAACACGAATCCTTCCCTACTTACCAGGATTTCGCCTTCTTGCCTCTGTTCGCTGTGTTCTTTCCTTCCATACGGTTCCTTCTCGACAGATTCGTCTTCGAGGTACCATTAACTTTTGATTTATTGTCTGTGTGAATCGCATTTAATACAATAAAGTACATGGCTTTGACATCTTATAGTATATACAGTGTGTACATGTCTCTCTGTTATGTGTAGCTTTAATGTCAAGTTTCTACTTTTAGTAAGGTAACGACTCTTGTGAGTAATCATTACTATTGACTTGTGTCTATGAGACTATGATTGAATCTTGTTTGTCAATGCAATGTTGGTGAAGATTATAGGGGAAAGTTTTATTTTTTTAGACCATGATTAACTCTAGTCTCTTAATTGGGTTTCTCTGGCTAAGAAACTGTTCTTACATTTTCTTAGATTTTAACTAAAAAGTGAGGAATCTCTATTAAAATAAGAGATATAAGAACCTTTTTATAGCTGAAAAGTGTAAAAAAAAGTGTCAAATCATGAGTAAAAAACCCGGCTAGGAGACTGGGTTAATCATGTTCTTATATCTTAGTTTGGTGCCTTTGATGAATACATTATGTACTGATACATCTCTCTTTTTTGAAACTTTAATGCAACATCTATACGTCAAGTAACGACCCTTGTGAGCAATTATTAAGTTGATTCGTCTTTCTTATTGAATCTTTTTTATAAATGAAATGTTGGTGAAGATTATCGGAGAAAGTTTTACTTTTTAAATCCTAGTTTGGTCCCATGTTGGTGAATTATACACACATACAGTATGTATCTCTCTCTCTTTATGTGTAGGTGAACGTTTTTTTTTTTGTTACCACGTTGAATTTTACTACCCCTTTCTAACTTCCATCGCTGATCTCTAATTTGTTCTAATTTGTTCCACTATTTTTTGTTCTAGTTTGGTTCCATGTTGATTAATACATTATGCATTGGTAAATCTCTCTCTTATGTGTAACTTTAATGCAACAGTTATACCGTTATACCTCAAGTAACGACCCTTGTGAGCAGTTATTAAGTTGATTCGTCTTTCTTATTGAATCTTTTTTATAAATGAAATGTTGGTGAAGATTGTAGGAGAAAGTTTTACTTTTTTTTCAGTTTGGTACTTTGGTTACATGTTCAGGAATAGATATACACACACATACAGTATGTGCATCTCTCTTTAATGTTTAACTTTAATGCCAAGTTTCTACGTTTAGTAACGATCCTTATGGGCGATCATTACTATTGAGTATTGAATCTTGCTTATTAATGAAATGTTGAGGAAGATGGTAAGAGAAAGTTTCACTGATTTTTTTTTACAGTTTGGTTCCATGTTGATGAATAGAAATACCCACACATACAGTATGTACAACTTTCTTTCTTGTGTGTAACTTCAATGCTACATTTCTACTTTTAGTAACGACCCTTGTGAGTTGTTAGCAATTATATACACACACATATAGCATGTACAAATCTCTCTCTGGTGTGTAACTTTAGTGCCAAGGTTCTACTTTTAGTAACGACCCTTGTGAGCAGTCATTACTAGTGACTTGTGTCTCTGAATGCAATGTTTGATGAAGATTGTAAGAGAAAGTTTTAATTTTTCGGTTTGGTTCTCTTTTTGATGAATGTGGTGTTTTGTAGAAAGTGGGAAGGTACTTGATTTATGGAAGGCAGAATCCGAAAAAGAATGACAAGAAGACGAAAATCAGAAAATTCAAAGAATCAGCTTGGAAGTGTATCTACTACCTCTCAGCTGAGCTGCTTGCTTTGTCTGTGACATACAACGAGCCTTGGTTTACAGACACTCTCTACTTCTGGATTGGTCCTGGAGATCAGATTTGGCCTAATCAACAGATGAAGTAAAGAGTTTTCTTTTGTTGGTGGGCATTTACGGAAGATGATCTCTAATCATCTTCTTCTTCTTTATGTTGCAGGATAAAGTTGAAGTTCTTATATATGTATACAGCTGGCTTCTACACATACTCTATATTCGCGTTGATCTTTTGGGAAACAAGACGTTCTGATTTTGGTGTTTCGATGGGTCATCATATCACTACTGTTATCCTCATCGTCCTCTCCTACATCTGCAGGTAAACATATATTGTATCATAGTTCTAAAAACCAGTCTAGGCGGCCAAAGCGATTTTCCTAAAATCCGATTTATACGACTCAAATTGGTTTAAACCGGTTTAAATCAATCTAAATTAGTTCAAATCTGTTGAATTAAGCAATACTATTAGTACAAATCCTCAAATTTTTCTAATCTCTTTTGTTTTGTATATCTAATTTTGATAATTCATTAAAATAATTTTATAATTAAAGTCAAAAGTAAAATATCATATATAAATGTAAAATACATACAAAATAAATCAATAATTAGTTAATGTATTGGTCCGATTAATTCGCCTAGTGGCTAGTTCTATACAAAGCGTCTAGTTACCGAACGTCAATTGTGTTATGGAGAAAGAATCGATCTTTACATTTAATGTTCTTTTGTTTTTAGATTCTCTCGTGCTGGTTCTGTTGTTCTTGCACTCCATGACGCGAGCGATGTGTTTCTTGAAGTTGGGAAGATGTCGAAGTACAGTGGAGCTGAGGGTATAGCAGCCTTTTCGTTTGTTCTTTTTGCTTTGTCTTGGGTTGTTCTACGTCTCATTTACTATCCTTTCTGGATCCTTTGGAGCACGAGGTTTGTTTATATACAACTTCTATCTTGAATGTGTTGTTAGACTTGTTGCTGTAATGTGTTGTGTCTTTGTGATGTGCAGCTATCAGATTATTATGACTGTGGACAAGGAAAAGCATCCTATCGAAGGACCAATCTACTACTACATGTTCAACACTCTCTTGTTTTGCTTGCTTGTTCTTCATATATTCTGGTGGGTTTTGATTTACCGGATGCTTGTGAAACAAGTACAGGATCGAGGCAAGCTTAGCGAAGATGTCAGATCCGGTATGTAGTGAATAATCTTATTAACAATGTACTCAATGTTTTGGATCGTTAGAGTAGAGGATAAAAAGAGTTGGTGTCTTTGTGCAGATTCTGAGAGTGATGATGAACACGAGGATTGATCACTGCAGGTTTGGGACTCTGTTTATAAGAACAGAGGACTTTCAGGCTTTCATTTAAAAAGTGGGAGGATCGGAACCGGATCAAACCGGTTTTATTGATCGGATAACTTTGGAAATTTCATTTTTGGATCGGTTTTCCCAAGATTTTGTTTTAGACATTGCTTCACTTGTTTTTTTGTTTCTGTTCTTTCTTTAGTTTTATGTTATGGACCTGGTTTCTTGTTTTGGATCATCAGTGCAATAATACAATTCATTGTACCACTGAAATGCCATGACATTTTGACTCCGGAAGAATAATCCGCAGGGTAAATGATTTTTTTGTTGTTTTATTTCTTATTCTTTCCGTTTCATTTTAGTTGTTATTTTAGCTTTTTACATACAGACTAGGTGTTTTACCCGCACATATGGGCATAATTTTCGTACAATTTATTATTAGTCTATATTTTATTAATTCAAACAAATATAATAAGTTATGATTTATGTTTTAAAAATAATTATAAATAACAACACTCACATAACAAAATATTTTTAAAAATATATTTTTACAAATGTGTTGCTTTAATTTATTTTAATCCTAATTTTGTCTATCTTAATTTTTTCTTTCTATAATAAAAAATATATTTTCAAGATAACAATATAATACATAAGAAGTATCTTATTTTCTCAAAATATAATTTTTAATAGAAATTCGTTTTTATTTTATAATAAATTTTATATGAAATTATTAAAAATATGAAAAAATAATCAAAATTGTCTAAATCATGGAGAAATTAAAAATCAGATAATTCACTTAAATTTTCTAATAGAAAACATATGTCCAAGATAACAATCTAATATTATTATTATACATTCATTTTTATTATTTAATAAATTATATATGAAATAATTAAAATATCAAAAAAGCAAAATATAAAACCATAAAGACGTTGATAAATCAAAAATGTAGTATTATTAGTATACATTCGTTTTATTATTTAATAAATTATATATGAAAATTATTAAAATATGATAAAAAACAAAATATAAAACCATGGAGATGTTGATAAATCAGCATTGCTTTTTGTATATTTAACTATTAATATTTTAACTTAATTTTTAATTTCTATGATTAAAAAAATATATTTTAAAGATAACAATATAATACATAAGAATTATCTTATTTTCTAAAAGTATAATATTATTAATAGAAATTCATTTTATTATATGATAAATTATTCATAAAATTATTAAAAATAACAAATAAATAAAATTACAAAAATCATGGAGAAGTTACAGATCAATCAGTAAATTCACTTGAAATTTATAATAGAAAAATATTTTTTTAAGATAACAATTTAATACAAAATAATTAACATATTTTCTAAAATATAATATTATTATATAAATTCGTTTTTATTAAATAATAAATTGTATATGAAATTATTTAAATAAGCTAAATAAAAAAAATTTACCTAAAATTATGGAGAAGTTGACAACTAAGCAAATTTACTTCTTAAATAATAGTATAGATTAAGGAAACATTTAATTTTACATATTTTCAAGATAAAAACATAATTACATATATACCTAACTCTTTTTCAACCAATAGAAAAATAGAATATTATATAAAACTAATAAATTTTACCTCGAAACTTTAAAACTACATTTAATTTGTGACAAAAAATTAAGCCTAGAATTACAAATATTATGATACAGAGAGAGTATATTACAATAATTAAATTTCAATTGCTACAGTTGAAGTGATTTTTAAATCTAAAAACCAGGTTATCTTATATATTAAAAGAGAAGTCATGACTTCACTTCATGTGTGATATTTTAAAATGGACCATCTAATAGTATTTATGACATTATATTATTCAATCATTAATAACATTTATTAGATTCATTAATAACATTTATTGGGCTTAATAGAAATTTTTATTGGGCTAATAAAAATTAGATTATCCATTGGATTTATAGATATTATAGTAAAATACATGTTTAAATTAAACTTATATAATTTAATATTGTAATACTATAAGTTAATATTTATATATTTTTGATGTTAACTTTAAAAATTATATAGTTTATTTTTAAAAATAACAAAATCATCATTTTCTAACACTAATTAATCTATACTATATAATAATTAATCATCATTTTCGATATACATACCTTATATAATATATAACAATTTAGAAGTAAAAAAATGTTTATATAAAAAAAAATGAAAACAAATACCCGCGCGGTTGCGCGGGTTGAGATCTAGTTCAGTATTAATACACAAATAAATTACTTTGAATAATAAATTGTCAATCTTCAGTATAGTGCATGGTATATTACCAAACGTAGATCTCACATAACTGTTCGGAGTGGCATTACATTCTCATCAGGTGGATAAGCATTATATTCTCATCAGGTGGTAAAATTATTGATTGCAAAATCATCTATGTAATATTTCATCATTATAAAAATATCTCCGATCGGATTTCAAATCTTCAAATTTTGAGGATCTAAATAGTAAAATCTTAAGGTTTCAATATTTAAAATCTCAACACTATATATCTTTTACTTTTTGGTCCTTATAATCATTATCTTTTACAAATGCATATACTAAATTTAATTTATAATAACTTAAGTACATCAAAATAAAAAATATATTACATAACACTAAAATAAAGTTCATACAATAGAAAAATACATTAAATAAATTCACACAAAATCAAAATACATTAAATAAATTTAGCACAAATGAAAGTGAAATACATAAACACTTAAATATTACAAATGATAGAATTCATTGGTTAATCTGACCATGAACCTCCAAAATAATCAAATTATGATTGATAAATATTTGGATCAAATGAAGATTGTTGCTGCTTTAAGTTCTTTTTGCATGATTCTCAGTTTTTTTCAATTGCATATATTCATGTGTATCATCACCGACAAAGTCTAAATTAAAAATAGCACTAAATGAAAATACCTGATTTCAACAATTTATAACTTGTAATCTATATCTTATATAATAAAGTTAGTTTTTTCTCCATTAGGGACAAAAATGCCATGTGACACCTCATTAAAGTTTAAGAAATTATTTATTGGGTTTTTTAAAAAATTATATTATTTTAGAAAATATTATATTATTGGTAAAATGCATATTTGTTTTGGATTTTTATTGTTGTAGATTGCGTTTAAACTTTCGGACTACAGAGATCCTTTAATATTATAGGTTTATTCTTCATGTTCTTTTGAGATCTTTAGATCAGCCGACGAGGGTTTTACATATCGGAATAAATTATCAATTCTTCGTAATGTCTCGACGCACGCTTGATTCACACCTTCTTTCCTCCTATTTTTTAAGTGATTGACCCACTCTAGATCATTGAAACCACCTTATCGCATTCCGAAAATAACCATGTAGAGGTGTGAGTATATATATCCCTTTTGCAGACATGAACAACACAGCTTCGACGAGCATTAGAAGAAAATTTTGTTCAACTTTCTGATTGCTATAATGGTGATTTATTTCATCCTCCTTGCCGATTAGAAAGTTGGACGCTGCTCCAACACCACTGAGGTTCACTTTCTGAGGTTTTGGGAAGCCATAAATGTAAGGAAAGACGGTGAGTTCATAAGTCTAGACATGCTCCTCATCAACGAGAATGTAAGTATCTCCTTTCCGATTAACGCTGTTGACGATTGGTTCCATTATGATTGTTTAAAAAAATAATTTGTCATTTCTAACAGTCGATGGTTATTCAAGGTTCTGTTAATGTGAACCGTCAATTCATGTTCAGGCAGCATCTCAGTGAAGGGTCAGTCTACATGTTGAGCGGGTTCGATGTAACGCGCAGCAACCCCAATTTCCGGATGTTGGATGCCCTTTTATCCACTCGGTTCAATAATTAAACCTCTTTAGTTAAGAAAACAAACACTTTGAGATAAAACTTGATAACTAATTGTTAACAAGAAATTAGTGAAAACTTATAGCCAAAACAATACATAATTAAAATGAAAAGTTCAATAACAATTAGTGGAAAACATAAAATTAAAATATAACATATAAAACAATAACGAACAAGAGATAAATTTTTTTATGATAAGATCAAAAATTATTGTATATCTAAATAAATTTTATAAAAGAAAAATTGTATGTTATGAATTCCCTAAACTCTTCAAGCATAAATTTAATATGGACATAAAATTAAAAACAGACTATTTGTAAAACACAAAAAGAGACGCTATATAAAATAAGATAAAAATAATCGTAGAAATCAAATTATCTAATCTAAAATAAGACAAATGCACTAAAAAAAATCTATAGTTCCAAAATAAAAATAATCGTAGTCTCACTAAAGTATATCAATAGTTTTATTATGAAATTAAGTTTTTGCAACGAGGATAAAACCGAGTATCAAAGAATTAAACTATTTTAATAGAAACTAATACAAATAGTAATTAAATAAAATAATTTATATATAATGATAATAAAATATTTTAAAATAAAAACAAGTGTTACACAAAATATCCAAAAGAAAACAAATTCATGCGAATCACAAGTCAAACTACAAGAGAAAAATTATATATTTATAGAACAAAAAAAATTAAATAACTAAAAATATAAAAGTAAATGTATAAAATAGAGAAATAAATTATTTATGTATTGGATTTAAATATTTTATGAATATTTTCCTTATTTTTATAATAAAAACATAACAAAAAAAATTACATTAATTAAAAAGTTTACAAGCATGTGCGTTCTAACAAGAACAACAAAAACAAATACTGAAAATTAACCATTTTCAGTCACCAATAAATTTGTTATATAAGATCAATTTAAAATATAAGTTTTGTGATTTTTAATTTGATCGCCCGTCCGTAGGGCGGGCTTAACCCTAATATTAAAATAAGAAGACTCATTTATCACTTTAAACACATACTAGATTTTTGACCCGCGCTTAAAAAACGCGGGACTATTTTTGTCGTTTTATTTATAGATAGATCGATAAGTTTTTTTTTTGCTTTGATGATATAAAATGTTCTTGTCTAATAGAACTTTCTAAACTTATTGTATATTTTAGTTTATTATTATCATCAATATCTATGTAAATGTATTATATGTAATTGTGTAGTTTTATTTGGGAAAAATAATATCAACTAACTATGCTTGGTGCTGGGAAGCGGGTCAAACTCGCCCTGCCCCACCAGATTGACCCGCAAAGAAAATAAATTTTATCCGTATCCGTCCTACTTAATTTTACGGATAATCAGCTGGACCTGCAGATAATTATTAATAATAAAAATAATTATATTTTATTTTTTCTAAAAAATAATATTAAATAGTATATTTCTAGTTAAAATTTTAATTTTTTTTTAAAAAATAATGATTTTAACAAAATTTAGTATATTTTTGAAAAATAATTTATTTTAAATTTATTTTTCTATTTTTGTAGATTATCAGATACCCACAATTGAAATTAAAACAATCATGATCCGTCCTATGTAAAATATATTGGACCTGCATCCGCACCCCAACCCGTAACTTAGTTTTTTCAAATATTGATTCACCCGTTCCATGGCGGATCGAATGGGCAGGACCAGTGAGCTAATAATTAGAAGGTGAATTTGACCCATTAATAAAACTCTTTAGTATATAATTTTTAGGTACAGAATAAAAAGACCAAATCGCCATTAATGGAAAATTAAATTTGTTCATAATATTAAGGGTATTGTTGGAAAAGATATAATCTCATTAAAGAGAGCGATCCTGTTTTAATGGTATTGATAATAGTATTATATTGAATAATGTTTTTATATGCAATTTTCTAAAATTTTGTATGTATGTGTGTTGTTTGATTATATATGAAATTTATATATTTTTATATTATAATATTATAATATTAGGTGTTGCATAATATATTAAATATATGTTTTATATGTATTTATGAAGTTTTATCTAACTTTTGTTAATGTTAAGAATAATAATGCAAATGAATATTTTTTTTAAAAAACTAGTTTGAAGATTCATGGTTGTAGGTATACCTGGGCATCCGGATATTCAGTTCGGTTCTGGATAGGAACCATTCGGTTCCGCGTATATCGGATAAATCATTTTTATACACAATAGGTATTTATGAGATTTTGGTTCGGTTTTGGTTTGGTTCCAGTTCGGTTCCGGGTACCCGTTTAATATAAATCAAATATATATATATATATATACATAATATATTAGTTAATATGTTAATTTAAATGGTCTAGTGTTTACACGCTTACATATTCGTCAATCCAACAAGAGTTCGAATCAAGAAAGTGTTAATTTTATAAATATTTATCGTATTTTAATATAGAAATACTATATATATTTATAGTATAAGACAATAAATAAAACATGGTAAAAATATACTTACTCTTTGTATCCAACCTGGTTCAAGTGGGCTTAACATCATTTTATCTTATATTAAAAAAATTTAACTTATTTTTCGGATCTTCGGGTACCTGTTCGGTTTTCCGTTTGGTTCTGGTTCCGGTTCGGTTTTTTGGGTATAGAAATATAAGAACTATTCGGATATTTAAGAATTTTGGTTCGATTTCGAGAATTTCGACTCAGTTCTGGTTCGGTTTTTCGGTTCCGGTTTTTTTCCCAGGGTTAGTTGTATGCTTGTAGCAATCAACACAAAAATTAGTTTGAAGATTCATGCTCTATTAGCTTTATTTTTTATTTTTAAATGAATAGTCCGTTATCTCAGAGGTAAAAAAAAACAAATTAGCATATTAAATTGAGCGGCGCACAATAGAGTCTGACGCCGTTGAGGTTTGTGTTAAAGGTTTTAGCATTCACCTAAGCTCTGTCTTGGTCGAGAAGACAGACAAACTCTCTTGTTCGGTTCTTTCTTCATCCATTCTATTACGAAAAAGAAAAGGTAATTTGTCACTTCCTTCTCTAATTGATCGCTTCTCGATTCTTATACACCTTCCTCAATCCGATACTCTTTAAAGTCTGAGACTTTACTCCTTTCGCCTTGCTTAATTTTCGAGATTTAAGGTTAACGAGATGTAAAAGTTTAATACTTCCAAGTTCAAATTCTTCAAACAGTCATAGGTTTATGTCCTTGTGTTAGATTAAGAGTTTTTCCACAATTTTCGTTGAATAATCGATGATTTAGCATAAGATCTGTAATGGAGTTTACAGACTTTTCACTCTTCCATAATAGGATTCTCAGATCTCTTTAGTTACTTTAAGCACTTCCTTCTTTTGAGTACAATCTTTGGTTCCAATGATTGTAACCGAGACAAACAAGGAACGAACACAAGTCTTCGTTTAGTTTAGTTTGTGTTGCAACAAGTTCTGTTTACATGTCTTTATAATCTCACTAACTCATACGAGTTTTGAAATCTCTTATTTGGAACAATAAGATATGTGTGCTTTACTTCATTCCTCTTTGGTTTATCGTAGATACGCTTGACTCAATTTAAATACCGAAAAATGGTTTAAATGCTTCTTAGATTGGCTCTTCTTACTTCTCTATTGCTACCTAACTGCGTTTTTTGATGTGTCTCTTGATAACAGGTTTGTTCAACTTCAATAAAAGCTAAGTAAAAATGGAAGATGTACTAACCGAGAATCCACCACCTTCAAGATTCTTCCAAGAAGATCTCAACAACTTCGTCTCACCTCCTGAACCCCTTCCTTCTCCTTTCATCGTCTTCTCAAACCCAAAACCAGAACTCCCCCTCAAACCATCACTCCTCATCATAGCCGTATCTTCCCCTTCCCTATACATTTTCCACAGCTTACCTTCAAAGACTCTCATCGGAACTCTCATCTTGCCTGAAGTCCCCTTCTCTGGAAACACCGTTGAGCCTTCTTTACAAGACAAATCCTGCAACATCTACTCCTTAAGTGGTGATAACAACACCAACTCTGTCCTTTTGGTTTCTGTTCAGCTTCCTGTGTCTCCTGAACGGGCCAACCTAGTCTCGAGACTGCTCATTGGCCAAGACATTGTCCCGGAGAGGGTTATCATCTTGGATTCTATTCAGAGCCGTAACTTCAGAGGGAGGCTCTCACCAGATGAGGCATTGGCTGCTAAACTTGAGACATCGTGTGAGAAGAAAGCAGCAGCAACGTCTCGGTTGAATCTGGATTCCTTCCCATCAGGGAGTGTTATTGATGGTCTGAGTGCTTCGCTTTTGAGCAGATGTCAGGTGAAGAATATCAGAGGGACGTTGGTGGTGTCTTGGCCTGAGTTTGATCCTTCTGTGGTGAGATTTGTTGGTGGTTTGTTGAAGAGCATTGTCCCTGGTATGGATATTACAAGTGTGGGCAAAGATCTGGAGATGTACTCTTCAAGAAGTGGTCTTAAAAAGGATGCTTGGCTTGACTCTGATCTATACACTTGATTCAAAGATGGCCATGGCTCAGCTTCTCAGAAAATTTGTTTCTGTTTCTTATGTAATGGCTTAGCGTTTCTTGGACAAAACAGAGACCTTAGGTGTGTGTGTTGTTCTCATTGCAAACAGTTTTGTTTCTTCTCTTTGGGAAAAAATGATCATGCGGAGATTATTTTAAAATTTTTAGAAACATACATTGTTTAGTTACAGGCTAAATCGTAGTTTCGAAGATTTATCACATTATCTATATTCTATATCAGTTTAGTAGTTCATGAGCTATATGGTCTTTGACGGTGTTCACCAAAAAATGGTAAATCATACCATGAAACAGCTTGTGTACAAATTTATTTATTTTTGGTTAAAAATGAGTTAACTATGTTATTACAGAGAAATATTACATACATAATTTTACAACAGACAGCTTGTGTTACCGAAGATTCACGTCTGACTACAGTTTTTACATCCTTATTATTGTAATCTTTTGATACAGCTACAAATTTATTTTAGTGAAAACCGAAGCCAATGATGAACAGGCATGCAAGGCTTAAACCGAATTGTACCGCGAATTTCTGGTTTATTGTTCCTCCATCAGATGCTTCATCAAACAACAAAGAACGTAAAAAAAAGCCCCCTATATTAGCTTACAGTCTCCAGAATTCAAAAGATTTCATAATTTTATTCTTTATAATGTTGAAATTTTAGATTTTACTTACGGCCAGAACTGCTAAAGGTAAGTGAGGTCGGTTTAGGATGACTCCTGTTGCAGTCTTCCTCTGTTCCAGTTGAACAAATCTCAGGATTGCCCATTACACTGCATCACAACTCACAAGTAGATAAAATGTTATATATATATATATATATATATTTCATTTGCTTATTATACTTAATGTACAAATGTGGATAAGTTGCAGAGAAAATGACATCGTTTTTTCTTTTCTGAACAGAGTAAAAGTGTGAAACAGAACAACCAAATATTTTTTTTTAATAAATAGACTTACTTGAATGTATTGGCAAGCAATCTTGGAACTGGTCCACTCAAGTTATTGTAAGACAGATCCCTACAAAATTAATAATGAAATTTATAAGCAAATATACATATAGAAGAAGAAAAAAAACCAAAGAAAAAGAATGTACAAAAGAATTAGTTGGGTCATGTTTGCCACTGAGGTAGGAATTGTTCCTGTCAGGCTGTTATTGTTCAGCCTCCTGCTCAACAGTTTTCAACACAAAAATCTCTCCATATTTAATTACAACAATTATTTTTTAAAATTATGCTAAAAAGATTAAGAAAAAAAGTAATGGGTAATCTTACAAGTATTGAAAATGTGTGGGATGAGAAAGAGTGGATGGGATTTGGCCAGTGAAGTTATTGTTGGAGAGATCAAGTGTTTTCAGTTTCATCAGTTTCCCTATCTCAGGAGGAATATTTCCTGTAATGTAATTGTTCTGCAATAGCCTTTTTGTGTGTATCAAGAAATAATAATTAGAAAACTAAAGTAAACAACAAAACTAAATTATTAAAAGATGAACACTGACACAGTCTCAAGATATGTTAAATTGCCAATACTTGATGCAAGAGTTCCTGACAAGCTCTGGTTTGCAGCTCCTCTACATAGACATATAATTACTGTAAGTAAACAGTAATCTTTCATTATATATTTGTGTATTTATGTGCTTACATGCTTAAGACAAAATTATTAGAAGAGCAAGTGATCAAGTTCCAGCTACAAGGATCAACTGATGCGATGTCCCAATTCACTAGAACTCCTTGAGGATCAACCAGTGAATTCTTGATTTCTATCAGAGTAAGAACTAGAGAGGAAACAACAACAAAAACATGTTTTAGGAAAACAAGAGAAAGAAAGAAGATATTGTTAATGAATATTACCTTCAAAGTTAACACCGTTTGTAAGATTTGCAGGAGAAAGAAAGAGGAAAAAGATGCAGAAGAAAGTTGAAGAGAACATAACATAACTCTTTTTTACTTCTCTTCTTCTGAGCACCATCTTTGTCTGAAGCAAAACTTGCTTTTCTTGCATTTAGACTTGTGTGATTAGTACTTGCTAAGGTGAAGAATTTGAGACGTAGCGTATACACTAAAAGATCGAAATAAAAAAAAGGCGAGAGAAGATTTGTGGTGTGCAAGAGAATTTAGTTCCGGGGATGAGATTCTTATTCCTCGAGAATGTTTTAGCTCATTGGTCTATATTCTTTATTTAATATTCATGATTATTATTTTTTAGGCGTAAATATTATATTGACGTACAGTATTACACTAGGTGATTTTCCCGTGTTCATGCACGGATATAAATATTTTTAAATTAAATATATAATAATAATTGATTACTATTTAGTTTTAATTTTAAATTAATTTATAATTTGTATGCATCATTTATATTAATAATATTATTTTAGTTTATTTATCCTGTAATTTTATATATGTTATATCTAGTCGATTTTATTGTTTTTACGGTTGATTTAGTTATCATTTGGATAAATTGAATTTTTCTGAATCCAACTGTAATATCTAATTTTTAATTAATTACTTATTTGCATATAGTGGGTGTTGTCTTAGATATGTAAATATATTTTTGGAAAATTATGTATAACTTAAGATATATTGTACTTAGAATGAATTAAAAATGAACTAAAGTGTCTGATTCCAAAATACGTAAATTAATAAAACGATAATATTCCAAAGTCACATGCATATATATAAATTTTATAAAAGAACTAAAATTGTAAGAGTTGATTAATATTTATTTTCATTTGTTAATATGTTTTGAGTTATCCGAAGATCAATAGAAGGTTACATGCATAAGTAGATGATATATTTTTGGAAGCTCATGAACATATATCAATATTTAGAATAATTAATATTTATAAATTATAAATAACTTTATGCTTTAGATTTAATGAATATAAACTAAAATTTATTTTAAATAATCTTAAAATTGGGAATTCAGATATGCTTTGGTATTTTTATTATGGTTATATTTAGTTTCACAAACATAAAAACATAAAATTTAATATTAAGAATTTTTTTTAATAATGATAAAATATCATATATCTAACTCATATTAATTGTTAATTATTTGATCAAGCGATATTTATTATTAAATTTGTTTTAAGTTTTTAATATCTCTTAAAAATAAGCACTGCACAAAATTGTAATTATATTTGAAAATAATATTATATAGGTAAAATATAATCTATAGATAATTTTCTGTAATTGAAAGATATTATAGTCAACTAAATAAATAAAAAATCAATAATACTAATTATAAACTATTTTTATTACTCTAAAAGTATATTTTATGTTATTTAAAAATATTTTAAATGTATTATTATTATTTTGTGAACTTTCTTTTTTTATGAAATCATATTATATATACATATATTTTTTGTTTTCAAATTTTTTTTTGACTTTATAAAAAATTTTCCTTTTTATTACATATATTTTTGGAAATTTTTGAAAAGGAAACTAAATAAAAGAATGAATAATACTATTTTTAACTATTTTTAATTCATTAAGGGTATCAGTGTAATCAACCATCGTGAGAGTGAACGTGAGAGCGCCACATAGGAAACTGACTTCTCAAATAATATTATAGAGATACCTAACGATTGCAACGACTATATACTTACACTATGAACTTTAGTAGAATAAACCGAGTATGTTGGTTGTATGTTGGTTGTTCTATTCCGGTCTAGCTTTCCAGACTACCTCAAGCTTGAGTAATAGATCAGCCTTTAGTTGTCAAAAAAAAAAAAAAAAAAAAAAAAAGAATAAACCGAGTATCTCCCCAGGAAGCCGACACGGTTAGAGGCGTCTACAAAATGATTCCATTTGCCCATGGGGTTAAGTGTTTTTTTTAAGTGTTTTTTTAACCAAAATCGATATATATATTAAAAAAAAAATATATATATATATATAGCCTCGAACATGCGTTAAGAACTTCAGAGTGTCGTTGGCGGTCTGAGTGCTTCGCTCATAAGCCGATGTCAGCTATGTTGGATAATTCTCATACTTGTGGAGCAAGCTAACTTATTAATAGGTGTGTAATAAGTTAGAGATAAATACACAAATTAGGAAATCTAAATAATAGGAAGTTGTGGACAAGCACACGGGACGCGACGGGAATGGGATTTGTGCTCCTGGAGGATGACGTACCAAGGCTGTTTGGAACAAAAGGAGATATGCAGACAACATCACCACTACACGCAGAAGCTGAAGGTTTGTTATGGGCAATGTAGGAACTGCTAAAGGTTGGAAGGCAAGATATTCATTTTGAATCAGATTGTGCCCAAGTGGTGAAACTGGTACAAGCGGAGAAAGACTGGCCAGCCCTAACATCTGAAATCGATGAGATAAAAGCTCTCCACAATGAATTTCTGAAATGTTCGATATCTTTTATTCCAAGAGCGAAAAACGTCCGTGCAGATCACCTTGCAAAGGGTGCTAGATCACGAGAAGTTAACTCAGATTATGTAAACTGTTTTGCTCCCTGTTGGATAGCGGTTGAGGCTAGCCACGCAGAAGCAAACTGAATTTGAATCTATTATTTTCGAGGTAAAAAAAAGAAAAATAATAGGAAGTTTAGATAAAGTTAAAGACTATCAGAGGAATATTGGTCGTATCATGGCCTAAGTTTTATCCTTGTGTGGTGAGATTTGTCGGTGCTTTGATGAAGAGCATGTTGGAACTCGTTTCTGATAAAGCGGTGTGAAATTTTTTTGATAGATTTTTCGACGGAGACGCATGTGGGAAAGACTGAACTTTGGGCAATTATCGTGAGCATTATGAGATAGTCTATCCATTTATTAAAATCGAAATTGTTTTAAATGAGAAATGAAAGTCCAAGTGACTGATATTAAAAATTTGCAAAGTTTAAAATCTGACTAAGTATTAAAATTTAGCAAATTGATCACTTTAGATATTTGGGTTTGAATTTGAAATTGATTTTGTTAATTGGACAACATGTCAATCTACTATAGTTAAAAGTTGCATATAAAGGATTTTTAACTTGTCCACATCACTTAATATATTCCTCCAATCACAACATTTCATTAAAACACGTCATATGGGTTTCAGTATTTAGGCTTCGTTTTTAAGTCACCGGACCAGTTGTATGGGCTCCATCAATCAATCATGTTCTTTACTACTTCCTTCATGCTTTCATATAAAGGCTGAAAACTACTCATCAAAAGGCTGCATTTTATGTTGAGAAGAGCCTTTCTGAAGTGAGTGCTAGGGTATTGCCACATGCTTCACCTCCATGGGAAGGTAATAATCGTCTAGCCATTGTAGCTGTAAAAGCATCGGTTTTGTATAACTGATCGAATCGAATGGAGAGCTCCGTCGTAGTCCGTCGTGAAACCAACGGAGACGACTACCAGGGAGGACGAGAAGCTGCCCTCTTCGCACAGCTCAAAGTTCTCACCTTGAAGCTTCTAAGCCTATCGCAAACCCCTCATAAGGATCCGGCCGTGATCCCAAAGTTTCTCAGCCTCCTCCGCTTTGGTTTTGGATGTTGATAAAGTTTTTTTTTTTTAATGTGCGTTTCAGCTACACTTTGTTGCCTTTGCTTCTTCTGCTAGACGCAGCAGTAGCTTGCAAAGTCAGGGAGATGATGTTGTTGTTCCTTACAGAGTGAGTGATAAAGTAGCTGAAGGTGTAGCCTTGAGGAGGTTCTTAAGAAATGCCACGTTGGTTCCGTTGATCAGGTGAGTTTGATTTGAATTAGTTATGGGGAAAATGTATGTTATGTTGAATAATAGCAAGCTACAATGGTCTTCTTGAGATTTAAATCTATGACATTGTTGTTGTGTTTTCATTATGTTGGACTAGATGGTGATTTGATTTTTTTTCCTGGAGTTGAAATGTACATTACAAAACCCTCATCTTACACCGCTTAGCATTTTGTTCACGTGTGCTTTCTCTTTGTAACAGGTACCGTGCTGAGATGTCTGTCTATGACAATGACGAGAAGGCAACTTTTGTGCTCCTTTGTGATACTGGTCCTGAGCTAACATGGAGGCAGGGGTCAAAGATGATTGACAATTCTTTGAGGTTACTCATACTCATCTTATATTTCACCTCCCAAACAATCTAAACTGACTTAATCATGTTTGATATGGCAGGCCAGTGGGGACATTGGGTGCTAACCATGAGATGCCAACTCTACAATGTCTGGTGGAAGTCTCCAGCTACAACTTTACAGTTAAGAGGACCATAACTGTGACAAATGTTGTTTCTCCTGCAGTTCTGCCACCATTTGTGGTAGCAGAAAACAACCCGACCCAATCGATGAAACAACACATGCTCCTGGAGTAATTCAATTCTTCCATAGATGGAACCTGCAGGCTGCAGCTCAGGGTTTCAGCTCAGGTGCATCTTTCTAGGAGAGGGGCATGCAGGAGAAAGCTAAGCGCACGAGACGTAACTAAACCAGACACAATCCAACAATAATCCTTGGTTGCTTGATAGCAGTATAGCACCATTATCAGTATCTATTTAAGCTGTTTGTTTTTTTCGAAGATTTCTCTTTCTTTTTTTTTCCTTCCACCACTTTGCTTTCATACAAATGCTTTTCATAGGATTTTCTTTTGGTGTTGCAAAAAAAAAAAAAAACCTTTTCCCTTTTGTTTTTCTCCCAACAACTTTTCGATTTTTATTTGTAAATACAGACACTTAAATTAATATCACAGTACCTTGGCCAAAAAAAAATTAATATCATAATAGGTTTATGATAAAAAAAGACCAAGCCCTACAGAAATTCAATTGCAGTCGAAATTATTTAGACTAAAAAAAATTAGTTCAAAATACAACATAAAATTGAAACTACAGTCAACCAACTCCACCTTCAAAATTAAATTCTTACTGATCATTCAAACCACGATTATGCATCCCACTTCTAAATGGGTTCTCCATTGGACCACATACATTACAAGAGCCAAATAATTCTAATGATTAGTAACCATTACAAGTATAAATGATGTCAGAAACACGATTAAGAAAAAAAAAACGAATTGGAAATACATTACTGTAAATTTTTAACGTATTTATATCCATCACTATAATAAACATCATAGGAAAAAAAAAAAGTAGTAAAAATGCAAAAAGATGTTTTTTGTCATTAAAAATCAAAATACACAATCCCGGTTTAAATACAATTGAATGGTATCCACAAAAAAGATTATGTTTCCTATACGCACTTGAAGACAGCAACAGAAAATGATATGATGACTTATTCCAAGTTTTAAAGGTATGGCAACGATTTTCATTTATCCATTGTAGTGTCAACATAAAATATAAATTCTAATTTTTTCTAAGTCAGTTTCTCATTTATCATACACTTCCGGTTATGTCTTTGTCATAGGCTGTTCTCAACTATGATAGTGGTATGTACAATAGAACTTATCTCAAGTTGTCGAATTATTTCCTAACTATCTATAACTCTTTGGATGAAGATGAGACACTAAGAAAGCTGATATAGTAGGTATGTTTCCACGTACTATCAAGCAGCTGAGAAAGTTTGCAAGTTATCAAGATAACTATCTTATTATACAATCATGTGACAGATATTAACAAACATATTTTCTTCACTTATTGACCTGTCATATCTCTTTACATTTAGTGTTAGATAGATTGCTAAGTAGTAATTAGTAGGGTCATCTTAGAATCTAAATTTGATGTTCTGCGTTAGATGTTTAAATCGCATTTTTTATTTTCTAATCTCGGACTGGTTAGAAAGACTTTAGCTGACGAAGAAAAAAAAGAAGAATAAGGAAATTGAAGAAACCATTAAGTACTTGAACGGGTGTCGGCGATGAAAAAGACGATTGTTTTCGTTTCAAAGGTTCTCTAATTTACGATGATATTTTGGTTTTCGTTTCACGATTTCGGGGATTATGGTTTTCTCGGGGATGCAGTTTTAAGAGGAAAAGATACGATTTCCGATTTGATCTTCACGGATCGAATGGATCTGGTGGTAAAGATGAGGAATATTGGAGATCCGATGGTGGTCTCTCTTTCGGAAGTTTCCGATTCGAAAAAAGAATCGTGTTTCCTTTTTAAATCAAGGTACGTCTTTACTTATGGCTCCCACTTGCAAGGCAAATCACGGTTTTTGATTTTTTTGGGGTTTACGATATCATTTGAATCTGGTGAAGATGGAGAAGGGAAGTTTAGATCTTGGTTTCTCTCTAGTGATAGAGATATGGAAAGGCAATATTGTGTTTCAAGAGGTGATGCGACTAAATGGTGGATTCTAAAGATTTTTCTGTATAATATCTTTGATGATTGGCTTGTGTTAAAAGTATGGATTGCGTATCTTACGAGTATTTTGATTGATTGGTTCTGGAGATATGAATGGAGTATATATATATTGGTCTCGGGGATCAGAATTCTCATATCACAATCTCTCTTTTATTCTTCTTCTCTTTGGTTATCTTTCTCCAACTTAAGTTTGGTGTTTTTTCTCTTTGTTTTTACCATGTCACAAGGTCAATGGGTCTCTAAGTTGAGATTAGATTACGATAAGTTCAGGTGTTCTCATTATGATCTATACATGGTTTATCCAAGGAATTTTTGTAATTTTCTTAGCTGGTACCGACATAAGAGGATTGGTTTTGAAGCTGTTGTATCTCCTAGCCAGCACATTATTACCATTATCTTGCGTTCCTGGCTTGAGTATGATGGTGTTTTTGATAGGAATGTATTAGGTTTTTTTGATTCAAGATCACGAGTTTTTCCTTTAGTAGTTTCGGAGAAATATACACTAGTAGATGGGGTTCCAAGTGGTATGAATCTTGTTCTCAGTTTGTATGGATCTTGGTTTCCAAATTTTATTAACTTGAATGATTGCCAGGAACTTACAGTGATCATGGTGAGGATTTTAATAGATATATACTGGTGTGTAAGGTGTGGAAAAGCTACTGTTTTAGTAGCAATACGAGTACTGGAGGTAGGACAGGAGTGGTTTTGTTTCTTTTTTATGTGGACAACTTCACATTCAACCTTATCAAATGGGGAGATGTCGAGTTTGTGTATAGGGTGGTGGAATTTTTATCAACATTATGATTATGAGCCTATGACATCTCCTTTTGGTTTAAATGTAATCTTTGCTCTCCTATGTTTTGACACAGGATTCTGGTGCAGGGACAAGCTCCTCTCTTTTAGGTCTCGTGATTCTTTTAAGAAAGGACAGAGTTTTGATATTTTAAATGGTAATTATTTCAATGATAAAGTGGAGACCATGGATGGTGTTTTGAGTTCGGCTTTGTGCGGGTGTCAAACAAAGAATATAATTTCTTTTTGGATTTTTGGTTGGCTAGTGGAATATGGGTGGTTACAAGCCGGCAATGAAGTAAGACGTGGAATTCGTGAGCAGGGGCTAAGATTTCATGGATGTCAACATAATGTATGCCACGGACTTTTAATGGCAATATATATTGTACGTGTATATGCTGAGTTACCCTTATTTTTTCAATTTATATATTCAAACTGGTATGGTTTGGTGTGCTTTTCGCTGCTTGAGATTGGAGCTATAGTAATTGTAGTTTTGATTAGTATACAGTGCAACGCTGGGTGTGTTATGTGGTTTCGAGGATGTAATGAATTTTATGAATCACCGAATATATGGGCTTCACGGAGTCCCCTCATAAAATATATTTTAAATGAGTATATTTCACGGTTAATGGTCATTTTAATACTTTTATTTATTGGGTCCAGGATTTTGTTACTACAAATTTTAAATGGCGGACAATTTCTTTGGTACTGTCTTCGGTATTGTATAAAGTTTACAAGTATAATGATTGGGATATCATTAACTATTAACCGGGGCTCTAAAGAGCTTCCTTCAAAATTATTTTTTTAATGAGTATTTTGAGTTGGAATTGTCGGGGGGCGGGTGGTTCTGATACCGTTCAACGAATAAGGGATTTTCGACGTCAGTTTTTTCCGGATTTTCTTTTCCTTATGGAAACTAAGCAAAAGTTAACCTATATGGATGCTTTAAAATCAAGTTTGGGGTATGATCGGTTACACACGGTGGAACCAACTGGTCGTAGCGGCGGTTTAGCTTTAATGTGGAAAGGGTGTTACTCAGTTGAAATTTTAAATAGTAACAACAGAATTATTGACCTTAAAGTCACAATGGGGTCTATGAAATTTTTTCTCTCATGTGTATATGGAGACCCAGTAAGAGCAAGGAGACGATATGTTTGGGATCAATTAACGGATATAGGTGTGACTAGAGATGAGGCATGGATTTTGGTTGGAGATTTTAATGAGCTAATGAACAATGGTGAAAAACTGGGAGGGGCTACTAGAGATGAAAACACTTTCTTTGATTTTCGGAATATGGCTGAAGCATGTAAAATCAGGGAGATGAGAAGTACGGGAAATACTCTTTCATGGGCAGGTATGAGGGATCACAACTGGGTTCAATGTAAACTGGATAGAAGTTTTGGCAATGGGGAATGGTTTAGACTNTAATGAACAATGGTGAAAAACTGGGAGGGGCTACTAGAGATGAAAACACTTTCTTTGATTTTCGGAATATGGCTGAAGCATGTAAAATCAGGGAGATGAGAAGTACGGGAAATACTCTTTCATGGGCAGGTATGAGGGATCACAACTGGGTTCAATGTAAACTGGATAGAAGTTTTGGCAATGGGGAATGGTTTAGACTTTTTCCACAATCGTCTACTGAGTATATGAGTATGTGGCCTTCGGACCATCGGCCTCTTCGAATAGAGTTTGCACTCGAGCCTGAAAATTTGCATAGAGGACGATTTTATTTCGATAAACGTATGTTTGGTAAAAGAGGGGTAGAGGAGGCCATTAATCGAGGGTGGGATGCGGAGAATATTAATTCCAACCTCAGTGTTTTAGATCGTATTGCCCGGTGTCGATCGGAATTGTCCAAGCTTAAAAGGACCAATGATTGGAACTCAAAAACAAGAATTGAACGGCTACAAATTGATTTGGACAAAGAAAGCTCAAAGCAATTTCCCATTTATAGTCTGGTACGGAGGCTAAGACAGGAATTGGCTACGGCCTTTAGGGAAGAAGAAATCTTCTGGAGACAAAAAAGCAGAGAGGAATGGTTACGGGAAGGGGATAGAAATACTACGTATTTTCATAATGTGGTTAAAGGAAAAAAAATGAGGAATAAAATTTTAATGCTTAAGAATATCTTTGGAAATGAGCACTATTCTGAAGGATCAAAAGGTCATATTGCTACTGAATATTTTAGAGATTTGTTTACTAGCTCCAACCCACGAGACTTGGAAACTTTGTTTGAAGGTTTTGATACTAGAGTCACCTTAGAAATGAACACTTTGTTAATTAGAGAGGTATCACCTGATGAAATTAAAAAAGCAGCATTTGGGATTAAAAGTAGCAGCGCTCCTGGAGAGGATGGTCTTACTGGTTATTTTTACCAGAAATATTGGCATATTGTTGGTCAGAAGATTATTGATGATGTTCAAAGTTTTTTCAAAACAGCTATTCTTCCTGAGGGTTGGAACCATACACAATTATTTTTGTTACCGAAAATTCTACACCCTACGGAGATGAAGAATATGCGTCCCATTAGTCTTTGCTCGGTCCAATACAAAATCATTTCTCGTATTCTTTGCGACCGATTGAAAGTAATTTTACCTAACATAATTTCGGAAACCCAAGGGGCATTTGTTGGC